AATCCGAATACCCTTTCCGCTACGAGTTCAATCATACAAAAATTATCCAATTCCGATGTCAAATGGACCTTCAAATCTAAATTTTTCGTTTTTGGAAAGTTTTAAAAAAATTCTAATTTTTTCCATCTAAATCCGAAATAAATGATGAATATAGACATGGATTCGTGAAATATAATCACTTTTGGTTATAGAACACTTACCCAGTTCGAAATCGTAAAAAACCTCTCAAAACTTCGTCTTAACCGAGCTCAAAATGACCAAAATGAGTAAAAATATCGGACTCTTCGATATATACACTGCCCAGTCATTTCCGCACCTACGGTGTCTGGGCTCGCACATGCGAGCTCGCATCTGCGAGAAAAATATCGCATCTGCGAAATGGGGCTGCCAGGCGAGGCCTCGCATCTGCGGAGGACAAATGCGCAGCGGGTGCGTGCAAGTTTCCGCACCTGCGGACCTTTGCCCAGCCTGCCCAGGCCGCTTCTGCGATGGAAGGCTCACTTTTGCGAGCTCGTACCTGCGGTCAAAAATTCGCAGGTGCGATTACAACAGAAGGCAAAAATTCAGATTTTGCTTAAGTCCAATTCTTGTTCCAATTTCGATTCGAGTTACACTCTGGATACTCGAGACCCCGTCCAAATATACCAATAAGTTCCGAAATATAATACGGACTTACTCGGGGTTTCAATTCACGTCAAACAACATCAAAATTACAATTCACACCTCAATTCGAATTTTGAGTTTTAAACTTTTTCATTTGCAAAATTCGTGCCAAAACATATTAAGTGAATCCGGAATGACTTCAAATTTGGCACACAAGTCCTAAATGACATAACGGAGCTATTCAAATTTTCAGAATCGGATTTCGGCTCCGATATCAAAAGTCAACCCCGTGATCAAACTTGGAAATCTTTAGCCTTTAAATTACTAGTTTCTGTTAAATGGTCATAACTTGAGTTAGGGACCTCCAAATTAAATTTCAGGCATACGCCCAAGTCCCAAATCACGATACAGACCTACAGGAATTGTCAAAATACTGATTCGGGTTTGTTTGCTTAAAATGTTGACCAAAGTCAACTCAGTTGAGTTTTAAGGCTCTATTTCACATTTTAATCCATTTTTCACATAAAAACTTTCCGGAAAATTTTACGGACTGCGCACACAAGTCGAGGAATGATAAATAGTACTTTTTCGAGGTCTTAGAATACAGAATTAATTATTAAATTTAAAGATGACATTTTGGGTCATCACAACATTTTTGTACATCGACATAATTTAATTGTAGAGGAGCATAATAGACGGTTAATATTTTGAGAATACTTTTGTGATTCGATATTTAGCATTTTAATATACTAAATGTTAATATATGGAACAACTTATCTCAAAATACCAAAAACCATAACCATAGTCCTCAAAGAAATATTACAGATTGTTATTTCCATCATATAAGATATCTTGCTAACCTTCTTCCTGAGGGTCTTTGCCAGGAAAATCTAAATGAAAACATTCCTAATCTTATGTTTCTTTGTCCTAGTGAATATCTCAAACTACATGGAATATCAAAATTTTATGATTAGAAAAAATTTGAAAAAGCAAAAATATAAAAGAGAAAAACATGATAAATTGTAATCATTAGTAAGAACATATAGATAATTAAAAAAAAACATAACAAAATTATTAGCATGAAACACGTGTAATCTGTAAAGAAAATTGAAGAAGCGTTTATATTAGTTGTCCTATTTGGACAAAACAATCAGTATACAAACACAATTTAGCATGAAACACAATGCTTATTTGATAATTTTTGTGACTGTTTTTCTTAACTAATATAGTTAACATAAGGAGGTATCCTTGTGATTGAAGTCTTACATATACTCAAATTGAATTGGATGGATTTAGTTGATCGCTTTATCAGAATTCCACGATCAAATTCCTATTCTATTACAACTCTTCATCTTAGTGGGTGTATTTTCAGTTTTGTCCATTTCTTGTGAAGATTACTATAAATAATTAAGGGTATAAAAGTATATCAATATTTTGATGATATTTTAGTCATTCAATATTTTAGCTTTCAGCATTCGTGCTTTTATAATAATATAGATATGGATATAGATAGATATAGATATGCTATCACGAAATTGAGTATAATGCTAATCCAAGAATTTGAATTATTGATAACATCGTATGCCTCCTTGCTTAAAAGATTATGCATTAACAAAACAAAAAAATTCAAATGACAATTTATGATACTAGTGTAACAAATTTTCTTAAGACGATTTAAGCTATCCGACATGATGTAGATTACGACAATTTCATTTCTAAAAAAAATAGATTAATATAATGTAACTTAGTTTATATCATGCGATATTAAATATTTAGGCTAAACTTAGAACATGCATAACTACGTTAGTTTTGGCACTAATAATATAAAATATATTTACACAATCATATCATTTAAAATAAATGACATATAACATTTACACATAATGTGAAAATAGAACTTATATTATATTAGAGCAACTCAAATTACACTAAATGTCTAAATTTTTACATCATCAATACATATAGCTAAAACAAAAATAACTGGCATGTGTCCATAGTAACTCCATCAATATAGATTGGTGTTTTGGTGAGAGAAAGTTGGAAATTCAAATATGAGCTTTTTCTCATCCTACCAAACTATTATGGTAATTTTTTCAAGATTTCCAATAATATGTATCCTAAATTTTCAATTCTTAAAGATCTTACCTATTTTCTGAGGATACTTTAGTGTCTTTTATTAATCTAGTTAATAACATACAAAAAAATGAATATTGTATAGGATTTCAAAAAAGAATCTTATATTTATTTAATTTGCTTATCTTTTGGTGAAGCTATTTTGGAAGAAAGATGTGCTATCACCAAATATAATATAATATTAGTTCAAGAATTAAGTTATTGTAACTTTGTGTGCCTCCTTGCTAAGAGATGATGTATTAATAACAAAAGGAAAATTTAGAAGGACAACGACAACAAATTTTCTTAGATGTGTTTAAGCTATCAGACAAAATATAGATTTTACATACGTAAAAAGATTTTAGACCCAAGATTACGTACAACTTCATTTATGAAAAGAAGTTGACATAACTTGTTTACACCATTTCGATATTAAATATTTAGGTTAAATATGTCGTTACTAATTATGCATAAATAATATAAAATATATTTACGTAATCGTGTTATCTAAAAAATTTGTATATAAACATCTACACTACAATATGGAAAAAAGAGAATTTATGTTATGTTTGAGCGCCAAATTAATTAAGTTACATTGAGAATGTAAAATTTGTACACCATCAACTCATAAAACGAAAATAAAAATAATGGCATGTGTCCATAGTAACTATTCATATGCGTTAATTTTTTTGTGAAGAGGCATATTTGAGTTTTTTCTCACACTACCTTACTATTCCATCATCATTTTCCAGATTTTCCAATAATATTATCTTAATTTCCGATAAATTTTTCAATTCTTAAAGATCTTCCCTATTTTCTATAGGAAACTTTAGTCTTTTATATATATTATATAAATCTAGTTAATAACATACGATAAAAGATGAATGTGCTATCACGAAATATAATACTATACTAGTTTAAGGCTTAATTTATCGACGAGTTTGTACCACCTTGCTAAAGGATGGACGTATTATCACACAAGAAATTTTTTTGAATGACAATCTAATCGTGACAAATTTTCTTAGGAGCGTTTAAGCTATCAGACAAAATATAGATTACACACAAAAAAGTTATAACCTAAGATTACTTACAACTTCATTTATGGAGAGAAGGTAACAATGCTTGTATCATTTATATATTAAACGCTTAGGTTAAAATTAAGGCTTGCGTTTTATGCACAAATTATATAAAAATATTTAAGTATTAATGTCAAAGTGCATATACACATCTATATTAGAATTTGAAAAATATAAAATTATATTATATTAGAACGAATCGAATTACACAAAGTATATATAATATTTACACAATGCATAAAATTGAAACAACAACGTAACATCATGTCCACAGTTACTTTATCAATATAGTACTCATATTTTGATGAGTGGCAAATAAGAAAATCACATGAGCTTTTTCCCAACCTACCAAACTATCCCATCATAATTTTTCCAAAATTATCCAACAATATTATCCCAATTTACCATAGATTTCCCAATTCTTAAAGATCTTACCTATTTTCTCTAGGAAACTTTAGTCTTTTTTATTAATCTGGTTAATAACATAACATACCAAAAAAGGAAAAGAAAAGATCAAAGGAAGCCAAAAAAACTGATCCCAAAGGAAACTCACCACAACGACAAAAACTGAGAATTTCTTTTCTTTTTTTGTTAAAGGCCAATAAAAATCAAAATTTGAACACGAGTCTCGTTTACATATACGGCTGTTAAACGGATCTAGACAGATCATCATGCAAAAGCTCTTAAAATGTCATATTTACCCTCCACCCTTTACCCCAAAGCTCCGCTCTCCAATCTGGTATTCTCGTCATTTCACCAACGTAAATAAGCTAAAGTTGAAGGGTAATCGCGTACATCTAATAGGTTTTTTAAATAAAAAAGTGATGCCGTCAGATTAAGTATTAGCCGGAAATTTAAAATAACGGTGATCGGCGTAAAGTCCGGCCGGGCACATGGGCCCTTGTATTTTCCTATAAATAGCCCCCTCCCCACTCTTCTTTTTTCACTTTCATTCGTTTTCTCTCCTCTCTCTCTCTCTCTCTCTCTCTCTAAAACTCTGTCTCTCTCGACAGCTCTCTCTACAAATATACAAAGCGCACCACCAACTATAGAAAACTTACGAGAAATTTATTTATTATTATTCTATTATTAAAATTTGTTTATTATTTTAATTGTTTTTTTTCTTCTTTTGACTCTTTCTAGATTTCGTGGTGCTGTTTTGAGGTACTTTTCCCCTCTCTCTCCGCTCTCTCTCTATCTCTCTTCTCTCACACACACTCTTTCTCTCTCCACACAATTTGATTAATAATTAAATAATAAAGTAAATAAAAATAGATCGAAATAATATGTAGAAAAAATAGATCGAAGTAGAGACTATATTGGCTTTGATCTGGGGTTTAATGGATATGATGAATTTGGGAATTTCTTTGGTAAATTGACTAATGGGTGATATTAATTAATTTGTATAATAAGTTTTTTGATTGGTTGTTCGATTCTTGGAAACCCTAACTAATTGCGAATTTGTAAAGATTGGCTTATTTGATGGCTTCTTTTGGAGAATCTCTGGTAGAGGGTCAATCTGGTACTAATCTAAAAGGGGTGCTAGGGGTGATTTAGTTGCGTAATTAGTTGTTAGCTGTTTTATTATTATTATTATTTATTTATTTATTGTGTACTGTGTGCTGTTTTGTCACATTGGTTGGATTTGTTTTTGATGCCTCATTTATATTCTGCTGTAGTGGGTAACTATTTTATGCCATTACTTAATTGTATATATTAATGTGTGGGGAGGGAAAGCTACGACTGTTTATGTGTTATTGGAGCTATTTGATGAGTTTGTATCGGTGGATGTGGGTCGGTCGATTGATAGAGGTGAAAGGTTGAGGATAGAGTTTGTTAGATATAGTTTTTATTGGGGGAATATGGTTTTATCTTATCTACGAAGTCATAGATATCTTGTAGTGCTATCAAAGTATGTTAACATACATTTTTTGATGTATTTGGATATAGATAATTTACTAAAATGAAAAGTCGCGTGTGTAATAATCTTGAGAAGAACTTGTACTTCTTTCGATGGAATTTGTGTAATTGATCTCGATTACCCGCTTTCCTGTCTTCTTAGTCTTGTAGCTGTTTTTTTAGAAGGGCCTGTAGTTGCCTTTTCCCTGTATTTGGTTGTTGAGGCTCATCTGTAATTGCTAGCGTGGTGTTTATTTCCAGGGCTCGAGCTTGGCGTTGAATTTAGTGTCTGTTGGGTTTTCTTTATTATTTGGTTGATTTTGACGCAGTTAATCTTTGTGATAATGTAACATCAATAAGATTTAAGAATTTAACACAGAGCTTATGTTTACTTTTTTCTTTTGATTTTCCTTTTTCTCCTGTAAGAAGAATTGCTGATTAAGATATTAATTTGATCGTGCAGGCTGTAGCTATACATTCCTGATTTAGATACTGCGGCTGTAGCTGTGAGTGCTGACCACTACTAAAGCACTTCATTTGCTTCATGTTTTTAGTATTCCAATTAGACGAGGATGTTGTAAATCTAATGTTCTTGGCTGGATTGCAAACCAAAGTGTTTGATGCTGTGACTTTTTTCCTTTAATCAAGTTTGTTGCTTTCCCCAAATTGCAGAGTATTTCTTGCTTTTAATGTTCTGTGGGAAATAAAGAGGTTAGAAAATTTGCCCATAGCTCTGTGAGAATTAAATATTAGCGAGACGTGGTGGTATAAGCTCCTTTTATTCAGTGTATATGCAATTATATTGGAGATGGGTTCTAAAGGAAGGCTGTTGTTTGATCTTAATGAACCCCCTTCTGAGGATGACCAGGACAATGATGGTGTCCTCTGTTTCCAGCCCCAGAGAGCAGTACCCTCTTCTAGTACCAAGACTTCTGAGTTTTTGGCATCCTCTGTTGATCCTCCGGGGATAGTAAACAATCATGCTTTTTCCCATGCCTCTTCTGTTTCAGGTTTTCAGCCCTTTGTACGGTCAAAAGGTGCAGAGGCATCTAGAGCTCCTGAGGAACAGAAGAGTGCTGGGGCCATAACTTTCAGCGGTGCTTCATTGTCTAAATCAAGTCAGGAACATGTATTGAAGGATGTGCTCCAGCCAGATCTGAACTCTCTCGATATGCAAACGGCTGAAAAGGAAGAAGGTGAATGGTCTGATGCAGAGGGTTCAACTGATGCATATAAAAATTTAGGCATCAATGATAAGTCGAATACTGATGTTGATAAAGCTACGCAGGAGAAATCAGCAGTTGAGCCAGTGAATAATAGTGATAAAGTTCGCTCTGCCGATAATGCTTCTCAGGATAATGAGAAACGGAATGGTGAAAATTCCAATATTTCTTCTTTAGAATTAGATCCAGATACAAATGACAGGAAAAGTAATAGTAGCAGAAATTCTGAAACCAGTAATAAAACTGATATCGCCATGGATGGTCAGGAGGATTCTGGCCAGGTGCCAAAGCATAGAGAGATTAGAGGTGCTGAGGCAATTCATGCTTTAAAGTGTGCTAACAATTTTGGTAAGCGCCCTAAGATTGACCAACAAAAGGAAGCGATGCTGGGAAAGAAGCGCAGTAGGCAGACGATGTTTCTTGATTTGGAAGACGTTAAGCAGGCAGGTTCAATAAAAAGTGCTACGAGGCGGCAAAATTTTCCAGCACCTATTACTCGTATTGTGAAAGAGTCGCGTACTGTTCCTCCGCCTGCTGAAAAGAATGGGGAAAAGCAGAGTCAGCAACTTGTTAAAGATATAAAACAAAACGAATCAACTAATGAAGGCAACTATCCTATGGAATCTATTGATTATAAATCTGAATCAAGTGCTGATGTGAACCTAGCACCTCTAGGTCGTCCTAGACGGATGAATAGTTCGATCGACCTCACGCCTGAGGCTCAAACATCACCTATGCCTAGACCGAGTTCTTCGAAACATCCCACAGATCCGAGACAAGGTAGAAATTCGCAGGTCCCTGGTAGGAAGCCTGCTCTGACCAGTCAAAGTTCCATGGATCCAAAATTGGGAGCCAAAAAACCTCCGTCCAAGAAGCAACCTATAGTAAGTAGCCAGTCCCAAGATACATCTGTAGAACGCCTTATCCGGGAGGTGACGAACGAGAAGTTTTGGCAACATCCAGGTATTGTCCAGTTCCACTTATATTATCATTCTCATCATTGTTGTTATTATTGCGACTGTTGCTGATAGTACTGCTTCATTAGTTTTTTCTGTCTCGAACTTTTTATTCTTTTCTGTGCTTTTAAGCAACGTGACATAGCTTATGAACCTTTCCCTGATGATTTTTTTGTTTTGTTTTGTTGGGTTGGGTTGGGGTGGGGTACATCCAGTTTTCTAATTGGAGAAAGGCTCCAAATTAGGTTTTAATAGAGAGCATTGGTCTTACTGTCCTAGTAAGGACTGTGATATGGTAGATAAGCATTTATGTTGTCGTAGATGTTTAGTTATTTCTCTTGTTAGAGATCAAGGATCAAAACTTGCATTTCCCTAGAATATTGTTAGAATGAGTGATGTGCAGCTTTCTCACTTTTTCTTGTGCTCTGTCATAATGAGCATGTCGTCAGATAATATGAAACCCATTTCTTTTAGGTTTTACTTCAAAGAAGCAAGTATTTGTTCTTGCTCAGGTGGTCATTCAACATTTGGTTAATCCTTTAAACTTCTTTTATGTTGTATTTTTCATTTTTCTGAGAATCTGAGTGACTGGACCACACATCAGCTGCACATTGTCACATCTCTTTCTATCTCTCTCTCTCTCTCTCTCTCTCTCTCTCTCTCTCTCGTATGATATTTGAGTTTCTCTATGAAGGCGTATGTTTATTAAATGATATATGCTTTGTACTGCCACTTTCTTCTTCTAGGTTGCTGTAGTGGCCTATATATAGCATCCGGTTTTATGGAATGCTTCGTGAGGCAGGATTTACTGTTTTAGTTTATTGAGTGGTGGTGTTCCCTTTATATTACTCAGGCCCATGCATACCAAAGGGGATCCTCTAGCTTCATCTGGTGGGCATCACAATCATCAGGATAGCTTGTGGGATGGAAGAATTATTTGTTTTCTCAAAGTTAATTATATGATTATTAGTGTATTTTTCATGGTCTCCGTGGCTAACCTGTTCACATGTACCAGGAGAAAGCATTGAAAACATTTTCGTGTTACTTTTTTTTAAAGGTGCTCTGATTTGCTCCTCTGAAGTGCCGTATTAGGCATGTTAGTAGCGACTAGCATTGTACAGCTCCTTGAATTTCTAATTTCTTTTTTCAATTTCTTATTTGCCTTGTGTCAAAAGTGTTGTGGTGCATAAAGTGCGATCATATGGTGTATTATTAAGGAGTGAACTTCTCTTCATGTCAGATGAAACGGAGCTTCAGTGTGTTCCCGGTCACTTTGAATCTGAGGAAGAATATGTTAAGGTGTTTGAACCTTTGCTCTTTGAGGAATGCCGGGCACAGTTGTACAGTACTTGGGAGGAGATGGGTGAATCAGGAACCCATGTGAAGGTCCATGTTAAAAACATTGAACGGCGAGAAAGAGGTATGTTATGGCAACTTTATTTATACATTTATGTTGTTTTATTCTTTGACTCGGATATGAGGGACAACTTTTTATTATACCAAATCCATATTTGGGAAGCTATTCAACTTTTTAATGTCGCGTCTTCGCTTTTGAGCTACTCTGCAGGATTGTTTTTTCATTTCAATCTCTAGGATTTCCTAGTTTCCCAAATATCAAGCGAGACAAAATTTTACTGTATCTAGGATAACATAAGTGTTTGATTGGTCCATACATATAGGTTAGAACGGCTCCCCTCCGAATGAAAGAAAACACACACACAAAAGAGAAATTCAAAGAGTGGGGAATCTGTGGTCGGCCTAGCTGGATTTCTTGTCCTACGTATCTAATCGGCACTGCGTTTTCCTCTCCACAGGATGGTATGATGTAATCCTTATTCCAGAATGTGAGTGGAAGTGGTCATTCAAAGAGGGAGATGTTGCAGTTCTCTCAACTCCACGTCCTGGTTCAGGTTGGTCTTATAACGTTTTGTTGGAGTGTATGTCAAATTTCCTGTGTTTCTTTTTCTTCTTAATTTTAGTATAACTTCTAAACTTTGTATCAACGAAGCAGTCCGATCACGGAGAAGCGGAACCTCAACATTTGGGGATGATGAGCAGCCTGAAATAACTGGTCGTGTGGCCGGTACTGTGAGACGACACATACCTATTGATACTCGAGATGCTACTGGAGCCATCCTGCACTTCTATGTTGGAGATCCGTATGACACCAACAGGTCAGTGATTAGACTTTTAACTGCTTCACCTTCCTTGAATAATGAGCTAACATCTTGGTATTTGTTCTTTCAGCAATATTGATAGTGATCACATACTGCGGAAACTACAACCAAGAGGCATCTGGTTTCTGACTGTTCTGGGTTCTCTAGCAACGACCCAACGAGAATATGTTGCTTTACATGCATTTCGGCGTCTTAATCTGCAGGTTATATCTAAACCTAGCTCTTGCCCAGAATGCTTTTCTGCTATCTGTTTAAATAAAGAACTATGGTCTTTTGTGCAGATGCAAAATGCAATTCTTCAGCCAAGTCCAGAGCACTTCCCTAAATATGAAGAGCAGACACCTGCAATGCCTGACTGCTTTACGCCAAACTTTGTTGACCACTTGCACAGGACATTCAATGGACCGCAGCTAGGAGCAATCCAATGGGCTGCAACACATACAGCTGCTGGAACTAATGGTATGACAAAGAGGCAAGATCCATGGCCTTTTACTCTAGTTCAGGGGCCACCTGGTACAGGTAAAACACACACAGTGTGGGGAATGCTGAACGTCATTCATCTTGTTCAGTATCAGCACTATTACACCGCATTGCTCAAGAAACTTGCTCCTGAAAGCTATAAGCAGAATAATGAGAGTAACTCAGATAATGTTGCTACTGGATCCATTGATGAAGTCCTGCTAAGCATGGACCAGAATCTCTTCAGAACCCTCCCAAAGCTATGCCCAAAACCTAGAATGCTTGTCTGTGCTCCTTCAAATGCTGCAACCGACGAGCTTCTTGCACGTGTTCTTGATCGTGGATTCATCGATGGGGAGATGAAAGTTTATCGGCCTGATGTTGCACGAGTCGGGGTGGATTCCCAAACGCGTGCTGCCCAAGCAGTCTCTGTGGAGCGGAGAACTGAACAGCTTTTGATGAAGAGTCGTGATGAAGTTTATGGGTGGATGCACCAGTTGAGAGCTCGTGAAGCTCAGTTGTCTCAGCAGATAGCTGGCCTTCAAAGAGAACTAACAGTTGCTGCTGCTGCTGGTCGTTCACAGGGATCTGTCGGAGTTGACCCTGATGTTCTTATGGCTAGGGACCAAAACCGAGATTCTCTATTGCAGAACCTTGCGGCAGTGGTTGAGAATAGAGATAAAATATTGGTGGAAATGTCCCGCCTTCTGATTTTGGAAAGTAGGTTCCGTGGTGGTAACAATTTCAACATGGAGGAAGCTCGTGCTAGTCTGGAGGCTAGTTTTGCCAATGAAGCTGAAATTGTTTTCACTACTGTCTCAAGTAGTGGGAGGAAATTGTTCTCTCGTCTCACCCATGGTTTTGACATGGTAGTCATTGACGAAGCAGCCCAAGCCAGTGAAGTAGCAGTCCTTCCTCCCCTTTCTCTTGGTGCAGCACGGTGTGTTCTTGTTGGGGATCCGCAGCAGCTTCCTGCTACTGTTATCAGCAAAGCAGCTGGAACTTTGATGTATAGTAGAAGTCTCTTTGAGAGGTTTCAGCAAGCAGGCTGCCCAACTATGTTATTATCAGTGCAGTACAGGATGCATCCTCAAATTAGGGATTTTCCATCTAGGTACTTTTATCAAGGTCGCCTTACAGACAGCGAAAGTGTTGCTAATCTGCCTGATGAAAGTTATTACAAGGATCCTTTACTAAAGCCGTACATCTTTTATGACATTACACATGGTCGGGAATCACATAGAGGTGGATCTGTTTCATATCAGAATACACATGAAGCGCAGTTCTGTCTTCGTATATATGAGCATCTTCAAAAAACTTGTAAATCTGTTGGTGTTGGGAAAGTTACTGTAGGTATAATCACTCCATACAAGCTGCAACTTAAATGCCTTCAACGGGAGTTCGCAGATGTTTTAAATTCTGAAGAAGGAAAAGACATCTACATAAATACTGTGGATGCTTTCCAGGGTCAAGAGCGTGATGTTATTATAATGTCATGTGTGCGTGCCTCAAACCATGGGGTAGGGTTTGTTGCAGATATACGGCGAATGAACGTTGCTCTTACTCGTGCAAGAAGAGCTCTTTGGGTATGTTATTTCGGTCTCCATTTATGCACATAATTCTGTATTCATATCCTCTACGTGCAAAGATGCTATGTACGAGTTAATAATAACTTACCCTTTATTGTTCTCTTAACAGGTAATGGGAAATGCCAATGCTCTGGTGAAATCAGAAGATTGGGCTGCATTGATTGCCGATGCCAAAACCAGAAAATGTTACATGGACATGGATTCTTTGCCTAAGGAGTTCCTGCTACCCAGGTCAGCTTCTCATGCTCCTCCACCGACCAAGATGGCTAATAATAGAGGTTTCAGATCTGGGTTACGGCACAGAATATATGATACACACATGGAGTCCAGGTCAGGAACGCCTTCAGAAGATGATGAAAAGCCAAATGCATTACATGTAAGAAATGGGAGTTATAGGTCTTCCAAGCCATCACAAGAGAACTCATTGGATGATTTTGATCAATCTGCTGATAAATCTAGAGATTCCTGGCAATATGGCATACAGAGGAGGCAAAATACAGCTGGAATTGGGAGAAGAGATCTGTAGCTGATGTCCGTGAATGTGTGCCATACATCATGGGGGCCAACCATTTTTGTTCCTGATGTTATGACTTGCTCCTGTCTGGGAGACTGGTTGATGGCATAGCTATGCATGCTGATCGTATGTGCAAACTAAGGTTTATTTAAAGGACTTCTTGGTGATGCTGGAAGACTATGGCAGTAAGGAAGCATTTCTGTTCCTAAAGACTTGCTCCTCCTGGCTAGGACAGCTCTTGATGACGCAGCTGGTCAAGCTGGTCTTGTTTGCAGAATATGGTTTGAGGAAGGGAATTCTTGTTGATGAAGGGAATGGAAGGCTATGTTACAACAGAGAGATATCCTGGTTGATTATGGTGGTACTTGGAAGATTTAACAATTTCATGGGATTTTGAGCAATGGGGGCTCTCAGTCGTGGCTGAAGTTCTTTTGCTGTTAGGTTATAAAGGTACTTGTTTGAAACTTATGATGACTTGAAATTCTTGACTATATAGGTACAACATTCTCATTTCTTTGAGCTTTTCAAACAGAGCACTTAGCAGCTTGTCATCAAAGCCTCCATTGGGACAGAGAAGAAAGTTCATCCCAGCCAATTATCTTGGATACAGAGCCATATGTGGCTTAAAAATGTGAATTCTTCTCGTCAGAACCCTTTACTGGTTGCTTCTCTGTTAATGATATATTACCACCGAGACTATCCCAAGAGAGTTGGAGCTCTGTTAAGTAGTATGTCTGACACTGGCGTCATTTGTGCCATGTTCTGAATTTGAGCAAGACAACTAGTCCATGGAATGAGCCCAGGGCATTAAGAGAACTGAGCTGACCGTGTGGGGAAACTGTTTCAGAAAGTTACTGAATTCATTTAAGGCTGAGCATGGAACACTGGTGATATGGTAGCCTGTGAAATACGAGCTGATGAACAAATCAGGATGCCGTATAGACTGAGAAGTGCTGTTATTCGGTTCCTAAATGTTGCTATGGAGGCCCTTGGCAGATCCTGGACTAGTTCTGTACATATTCTTGTCAAAAGCACAATTCTTTTTATTAGGTTGTCTAATACTTAGGGATGTTGGAGAAGTTCACATTTTTTCCCTTCCCATAAGAAATTTTGAAGTTCATTTTTCATCTTTTCGCTGCGTTCTCCATGCTCAATGTATCTTAGTATGTTCACTACCTTGTAATGATATGTTTGTTGGTAATGTATGTGCATTCTTCGCTAGTAGTACTATTCTTCCCGCTGGCTGAAGAGAAGGGTTGTGTTGGAACGCACTTTGATTAGTTACTTAAAGGTTTAGCCCCAAGTGCAAACCCTAGTAATTCAAAGGTTGCCAATCAATGAATTTTTGAATTGTAATTTGTATGTATTAAGGTGCGGCGGGAGTAGATTAAATTGTTGAAGTTTGGGACATACTGTTTTATCCTGATATCCAATAATTTGCCTTTTAAAACAAATTAGGTGTGCTAGCATTTGATAGTTTTTCTTCAACGATTTCTACACAAGCTAAAAGCTCTTTAACAACATTAATATAAGTATTTATCAAGACAACTAAACTGTGCAGATTGTGGAACAGCTGTCTCTTCATCTATACAAGGTCACTGTAAGATTAAGTGCTCAAGAGAAAAAAATACCGAAATTTTTCTCCAGATTAATTTTTGCCTGTTTTTAAAATAGTCCAGGTTTTCGATTATACTCCCAATTAATCACATTTATCAGTGATACTAAGAAAGTAGGATGGGCCTTTTGGTTAAGTTCTCTCAAGTACTAGCATTGTCTGCAAAATTCACCAATAATTGCTCTTAAATTCATGTAATTACTCTAAACTGACATTGCTAATACTTCTTTTTAACAATAGAAATGTTTAATATTGTTTGCTAAAACTATTCCTAGTTTGGTTTAAGATTTTTTAAGAAAAGCACCAAAAGTAGTATATAACAGATTGAATGTATGACAGTAGGATTTTAAAAATTGACGGCAGCGAATATTAATAATGGCGGTATAATTTTGGTTAGCATTAATGTCATTACTAATCTTGACCAAACACGCGAATCGGATATGACGATTACTTTATGAATAATCGAATACCGATTTTACTTTTTATTCTTCTTTCTTATCTTCCAAAAATTGTTATCTTTTATCTGTTTCGATTTGTTTCGGAATCTTATGGCGATTTATTGATTTTTTTGTTTGGATTTAATCATAACAGTTTAGGGGTTTGTTCGTTCATGACATTAACGGTCTATATGTGACTGCTGTTTAAATGAGGAAACACAAAATACAAGTCTCTTCTGCTCCATTTGAATTTGGTTTGACAAAAATACAGAATTTATTGTTGTTTTACTTTTCAAAAGATAATTGTGCGCGCTTGAATTCAATCTGGAAGAATTAGTTTTGGCAATTTGATGTGTTTACATTGGTGTTATAGCTATTTAAAACGGAGAGAAAAGAATGAGGAAAAAGTCCAGTCAGAAGGTTCAAACATTCAATAAGAAAAAAGAAATATTTCAGTTTAAAAATGAGGAGAGCTACATGAAAAAGAAAGAAGCTGAAATCAAACACGTTTCATGTTTTGCATAAACCAAACCTATCGGTTTTGGGTTTGATTTTTTTAGAGCAGTCCACTGAATTTGGGTTTAGTTTTAAAACCAACTAGAAATACTTTTCTTTATTGTTAATACCTTTTAAAAATAAACACGCAGAACTGGTTTGAGGGAGACTGTTGCATAATTGTTTCATTAATTTATTTTAAAGTAAGAATAATAACGTCAATTGGAAAATGTGAAGATATGAAGTCGACAAATTCTTTATTATAAAATACAAATGTATATATATTATAACAGTTGTATCCAAATACTTAAAAGAAAATATTTTTGCGCATTACATAATTGACAGCATCACAAGACGTAAAGCGAATTCAGTGTTGGCTTGGGCATTAATAGATTATCTTACCTCAAACGTGTAATCATATAAGCATCTTATTCTAAAACAATGCTTGATGAGAACTTTGAATATTTGAGCTCTAACTTTCTAGACAAGCCAACACGATTTCATTGTTATTAACGGGTAAAATATAGGGAAAATAGCCACTTTTTACACTATTAATTGAGAATTAGCCATCGCCTCAAAAGCAACTAATATTTACTCACTTTATATTAGTTAGACAAATATACCCTAAATTAAACAGATAAAACCTTCTTTATTTCTTCTTCTTCGCAGCTTCCATAACTCTAACACAGATGATCTTTCTTTCCACAATAGGATTATTTTGAGAATGGTCACTGTATAGGTCAAAATCTGTCCTAAAATATTTAAGACAAGATAGCGCTAAAGGAAGAATCTTCAAGCCGTCACTAGTCGAGGTCGAGCAGGAAGCGGCAAGATTCGTGGCCGAGATGTCAACAACGGTCGATGTCGAGCACCGTCGGCAAAGCTGTAACGGCTAATTTTCGAAATAAGATATTAAAAAGAATATTCTAGTGGATATTCTATTTACTTGTACTATTAGGGTTTTGTTAAGAAAATGTCATATAAATAGAAAAGGAGAGAATGGTGGAAAGGGGGATATTCATTTTGTAAGAACACACTTTGACAAAATATTCGCTATCTCTCTCACTATAATACAAACAACACATTTTTCACCAATATTCTTATCTATATTATTTCATACTTTCCACCAGATCCGAGGATAATTCGAATATTCAAGGATTTGCCTGTCATTTATCATTAATGTCAGGAGGAATAACACATAGATTCTCCTTTATTGGGTGAATCACTCCTTTTATTTAATCGAATACCATTTATTATTGTTTGTTGCTATTTAATGCTCTATCATTGTTTATGTTGCTTGGAATGATTGTTATACACCATCATTATATCTCTATCGGATCTGTCCAACATTAGTCATGCCATCAGAACTCATATCTAGGAATATTATTGTTAACTAGGTTTAACCCCCTGAATATATAAATTTAATTATTTGAACCAATGGTTATATTTTTTGGTCAAATAATTTGCCGCTGTCTGTGGGAATTTTCTAGTTAAATTTTTAGTTTCTTCTAAATCTGTCACCAACACGGATCACAAACGTAAAAAAAAAAAAAAAAAAAAAAAAAAAGCAAGAACGAGAGAACCTTTCTTTGTGTGCACAAATCCCAACATGACAGGTAATAGGGAAGAAAGGGCGAGAATAACCAACGACCTCCCAACCAACCTCATGAACGTCATCAACGAAAGCTGCGAAACAACAGACGAAGGCGCAACACCCGATGCCTCCCCTAGGCGAGATGAGTCACTGCCTCCTCATTGCAGCATTACAAAGTCTCTTGGTAAGGGAGTCTCCACATCTGTGGGGGAAGAGATACCCCCAACTATAAAAAAGCTCCTCGAAGCATGGCTAACCGACACACTAACCAGCGTCTCCAACAAGCCCGCCCGGGACGCAGCTGCAGAAAACGCAAGGATTCGCACTGTACAACCGGCGGACGAACAGTGCAACCAACTCCCTCCACCTCCAACAACAGGTATTACTCACAACGTCAGTGATAATGCAGGTGATAACGCTCTTGCAGCCATTTTGAAAAGGATGGAGGAAATGGAGAACGAGAAGAAGATACTCCGAGATCAAATAAAAGAACACCAGGAACGAGTGGATAAAATACCGTGCGCCCCTAAACTATTGCCAAAGAGAGACGCTGGTTGGTTCGTCGAACATCCGTACAGTGATGACATAGCCTCATATGCCATACCAAAAACCTTTAAAATGCCGCCCTACCTAAGGATATATGATGGCACGACTGACCTTGAAGATCATATGACTCACTACGTCACCGCCATGAAAGGCAATGATCTCGCCAAAGAACAAGTATCTTCAATTCTGTTGAAAAAGTTCGGTGAAACCCTAAAAGGAGGGGCGTTAACATGGTATTCGCATCTACCTACGCATTCTATTGAAACTTTCGAAGAGATGACCGACAAGTTCGTAACGGCCCATGCTAGGGACAAGAAGGCTGAGACGAGGGTGAACGACATATTTGCTATTAAGTAGTCTCTAGGAGAGGGATTAAGGGACTTCATCACCCGGTTAAACCGAGTAAGGATGACATTGTTGAACGTGTCAGAAGGGATGGCGGTCACAGCCTTCCAGAACGAGCTGATCAGGGATGGTTCGAGGGCGACTAGAAAGCTATTAAGTTGACTGATGAAGTACCCTCCAACAACTTGGGATGAAATACACAACGCATATTGTGCCGAGGTCCGAGCAGACGAGGACGACCTCAATGGACCAACTCATCGACTGACCTCAGTACAGGACGAACCCATAAAAGATCGAAGAAATGATACCAGAAGAGACCTCGCAGCTCCACGACCTAATAGGGAACAACATCAACCGTATGTCAGAACTGCCATCGTGCCCCCCTCCCGCCACGAAGAAGGACCGCCTAGATCAAGGACAGGGACTCACCGAAACAAAAAAGTTATACCCTCTTTATATCCCCTCACAACTTTTCTTTGTCTCCTACAGAGATAGTCTATGCCTTGGAGAAGCTCGGATCAAAGGTGAAGTGGCCACAAAAGATGAGGTTAGATCCGAATACGAGGAAGTCAGATGCCCTCCTCCACCAAGAACGAGGGCACAAAATCAGGGATTGCATCGCCTTAAGGCAGGAGGTCGCAAACATGTTACGACAAGGACACCTCAAAGAGTTGCTGAGCGACTAGGGAAGGACCAACTTTGCCAGAGGACGTGATCAACATCAACGACCATCAAAACCGCCCTCACCAACTCGTACCATTCATATGATCATCGGTGGAGGTGATGATGCTTCCATCAATAACGTGAAGTTCACCACTACCCACAAATTCAAACGGTCAATCACTCACAAACTGTATGACGAACTCGAAGAGAGTATCATCTTCGATAAATCGGATACCAATGGTTTGGCTTTCCCTCACTATGATGCCCTCGTTATTACTTTACATATTTTAGATACCGATGTGAGGCGCATTATAATAGACGATGGGAGCGGCGCGTGCATTATCCATCCTCGAGTACTTGCACAAATGAAACTCGAGGATAAGATAGTTTTGTATTGCATCACGCAAACTGGTTTTAACAATGCAGTTGAGCGAACATCTGTCAAAATCACACTCCCCGTTCTGGCCGTGGCGTCACTATGGAAACCATGTTCCACATCATGGACCAAGACACAACATACAATGCCATAATA